TATTTTTGTATGAGAATGTATTACTCAATCATTATTTAATGAGCATGTGTATTATGAATGATAATTCGAATTATGCTCTTGAACATGTTAAATGATTTGAAATTGATTATCTTTGCCATTTGCATTTGAATTGATTAATATGCATTAGTATGAGTTAGATGGACCTTGGTTACTGAGTAGTTGTACTTATTCTACTATCTTTGATATTATAAAAACTAGCTTAAGAGGACCAGACAGAGGAAAACAGTCGGAGGCATAGGATTGCAATCCTATTAGTAGGCCTCCTTTACTTTTTGAGTCTTTATGTGTATTTTTTGCATGATATTAACAACTAGAGATAATTCAAATTGTAACTTACTTACACTATGAATTTTGTTAAATTATATAGTGTAATTAGGCCTTAAAGTGCATGAGTATGGATTGTGAGATCTATAACAAAATCAAAATACTAGTGCAAGTAAAAGTCCTGTCGCACCCAAAAAAATGCGACGCGGACGGCGCGCGAGCGGAGGTCCCGGCCTTCGCGGCGGGAACCGGATCGAATAAGGAGTCGCCACCAAGATTTTGAGGTAAATCTCGGGAAACTGATTAATGGAAGATAAGGGTGATCTGCGAAATCAGAGAATAGGTTCAGGAGTCGGTTGAGTGTGGGGAAGGTGTTAGGCACCCCACAACACCCGTTCGTGAGAACAGTTACCTGAAGTTTGTTGTGCTCTATTAATATGGTTTTAAAATTATTTTAATTATCCCTTTTATATTTATGTGTTTGATATAAAAATGATGATAATTGAGTGAGAAATGTTTATTTATTTACGAGGGAGGACGGACTTGACTCAGAATCTGACTCTGAGGCTTACGTACCCTGTGATGGGGATCAAAGTCCACGTAGTTCGGGCTTAAAAGTTTGTCGGTAAAAATATTTTTTGAAGAGAAATTAATTAGAAATAACTCACCATTTTGCAAATAAAATAATTTCTGAAATTTTGATATGTGTGTTTTAAATTGCAAAAGGTAATTTAATTTTAATTATTTTCTCAATTTTTGAATTTTGAGTTAAAGAAAAGGAAATGGTTTTAAAATCATTTTTTTTATCTTTGTGATTGGGAATTTTAATTGCAGTACCTACAGAACCTTATTGGTTCATACGGTAATGCAATTGCTCTAAATATCTGCGAAGATTTTGAAATCTCACACGATAGAAGAGTTTAGCAATTTAATTTATTTTATATTCTTATGTATTTTTAAGTGTTAATAATATATTTTAAGTGTGTATATACATGTTTTAAAGATTCTTAATCATCATACCTGCAAATGTTTATTGGCTTATACGGTAATATGATTATCCTAAATATCTGTGAAAATTCTAAAATCTCACACGATAAAGGAATTAAATTTAGATTAATTTAATATATAATTTATATATGTATTTTGAAAACTTAATCGTTATATCTGCAGAGTCTTATTAACTCATACGATAATACAATTATCTTAAAAGTCTACGGAGATTCAAAAATCTCACATAACTAAAAGATATAATTGGTAAATATGAATACAATTAAATACATTAATTTGGTTAATTAATTTTTTAAATTATGTATTATATGATTATTTACAAAAAATCATTTATTTATTATAAAAATTGAAAATCACTATATCTGCGAGGATTTATTATCCAACACGATGATGTGATTAATTTAAGTCTCTACGAAGATTCTTAAAATCTCACATGAGACTTAAATATTTATTATAAAATTGATTCTCATACCTGTGAAATCTTATTGATTTACACGACACGAGATTATCCTGAATATCTGTAGAGATTCAAAGTCTCCCACGATAAAAGGATTAAATAATATTCACTTTGAACATATTTTAATGCGTAATTACACGACGCATATTTTTAAATATAAAAATCTTAATCATTATACCTGCGAAGCCTTATTGACTCACACGGTAGAATGATTATCTTAAAGGTCTACGGAGTTTCAAAAATCTCACGTGACCAGAAGATCTAATTAGAAAATATAATTATAATTTAAATCCATTAATTTAATTAATTAAAAATTATAAAAATTTTTTTTTATTTTATTTACAAAATTCATTTATGTAATATATACAAATTGAGAATCACGATATCTGCGGGGATATGTTATCCCACACGATGATGTGATTAATTTAAGTCTTTACAAAGATTCTTAAAATTTCGCATGAGACTTAAATATTTATTATAAGATTGATCCTCATACCTGCGAAGTCTTACTGATTTACACGATATGAAATCATTCTAATGCCTATGAAAATTCTTAAAATCTCACACGACAAAGAGATGATCGAAATATTTGTATTTACAGTCGGTACATAATATTATGGTTGGCTAAATGATTCATGCGATGAAGGTAATGGAAAGAATAGAGAAATAAATTATTTTGACAGTTCACTATTCTTTTAACCTAGGAATATATTCTAAAAAAAATCCATATTTGGCATAAACTTTTAGCAATAACCATGATAGACACGGCTCCAAACCATAATCAACCTCATAAATTATCAATAATATTTTCACAGGCTCTCTCTTCTTCTTATTTTTTCTATCAGACACCTCTCAAGTATGTTCTAAATTCTACATAAAAAAATTTAATTCCTAAATTTTTTTTATGTCTAAACATATATCTGTATCAATCCACTCTCATAATATTTATCAATATATATATATATATGTTCATCAATAAATCTAGATTAAGGGAAGTGATATGATTTAAAATATTACCTGAGTAACCTGTGATTCTAGATATGCATTCTTCAACGCTTTTATCACCTCAACCTCAAGTTTTGGATGTGTTTCTGATTCTTTGTTGTTTGTAAAACATCCCGAACTCGTGTGACTGAGGGAAGAAGAAAGTGATGATCTCGTTCAGTCCATAAACCCACGTGTGCATGCATGTTTATGCGTTTTCTTCTTCTAGCTCTCTCGGTTCTGTTCAGTTTTTCGGTGCTCTATTTCTGTTTTCTGATCTCAGTCTCCTCTCTCCTCCCACTGCTACGTTTGTGCCTATGCTCCTCTTCTCTTTTTTCCAGTGCCTCTCCACCTCTTGGCTCCTGCTACAAGCTTCAACTCCTCCTTCCTTATTCAGTAAAAGAACTCGAGTGCATCAGAGCGAAGCATGTGGCGGCAGAGAGTGAGAGTTTGAAGGACGTGCTGTTTCTTTATCTTTCTCTTGGATTTCTTCTCTTTCCTGTTATCATGGTCACCCAAGTCAGAGTGAGAACGCTTCCCATGCTTCCTGTGAGCTCTTCTACTGGACTTCTTATATCCGAGTCAGAGCCAGATCATTTTATGCTTTGCAGCTTTCAACTCCCTCTCTCTCTATTTTTCGTGCACTTTCTCGCTCAGTCTTCCTCTTCTCCTGCGTCTGCTGTGTTCTACTTCTTCTTCACCGGTATATTCTCTTTATTTCTGCCTCCGTCTCTTTCTCGTTCATTCTTGCCTCCCATGCTCTATTTTTCCTTTAGTTTTTTTCTCCTTCCTCATGCTCTCCTTTGAACGCTGTCCATGCTCTGTTTTTTCCTTATTTTTCTGTCTCTCGGACTCTTTCCTCTCCCCTCCCTTCTGCTCTTGTTTTCTATTCTTTTTATACTCTCAGTTTCTCCCTCTCGATCTCTTTCTCTTCCTCCTCTTCTTTTTTTCTCATGCTCTGTTTTTTTCAGCCTTTTTTTTCGTGCATGCGTGGCTGTGTGTTTTACTTTTCCCTTGCTTTCGGCTTTCTCTGTTGCGTCTGACCAAGTAGCTTCTGCCCGTGTGTGCCTTCTGGTTTTCTTTATCTCTCTGTGCATGGCATTTGAGTGCGTTGTCTCTGTTTCTGTGTTTCTGCGTGTATGCTGCTGCATGTTTTTGTTTTGTCTGCGAGTATCTGGCTCTATTTCCTTTATTCTGCATATACTTTTGTGTTTTTTGTGTATTTGCTTCTGCATGCTTCTGCTCGTGTTCTGCATTTCTGTGTATTTGCTTCTGCGTGCTTCTGCCCGTGTGTGCTTGGTGCTTTCGGCGTCTGCAGCTCAGGTTTCTTCATCTCTTTGTGCTGACTGTGTTAGTGGGTTTCGTGTATGTGCGAGACTGCTCTGCTCTCTGCTGTTCTTGCTTTCTTTTTGGTCTGTTTATGTCTAACCGAGAGTGGAGAGATTTTGGATTATTATATATATTTTTTAAAAAAAACTATAATTCTTTTCTTTTTTATTTTTGATCATGTTTATTAATTTTTGAAATTAATTTAAGGGACAAATATTTTTTGAAAATATAACCATAAAAAAGATTAAATTTTTCATATTTTATATATTTTTATCTTTTTTTTGAACTAAAAGAATTAAAATCCTAGCCAATAAAAGATTATCTAAAATAAAATTAAATTCTATCAATTAAATTAATTTTTTTTAAAAATATAATCCTAAAAAAGATTAAATTTTATTTTTATATTTTTATATTTTTAGTTATTTATTATTATTATTTTATTAATTTAAAATATCCAGACAAAATATGGTGTTCACAATGACATGTGAATTATATTAATTAATTGATGAAAAATGAGATTAGAGTTCCCCCTTTTGTTTTTGAGATTAAGAGGTTGAGCAATAAAAATGTATTTCATGAGTATTGTTAATGATGTGGTGTGTTGCACAAATTTATTTTTATAATTACCTTAAATTTTAAATTAAATTAAATTAATTTTTTTTCTACCAATTAATATTTTATTTAACTTAGTTTTATAGCAAGTGGAGAGAGGTAGCTAACAGGAACTTATTCTAATAACTTTTTTGAAGATCCAAAGTTAAAATTTTATTGAGCAAAAGTTAGGTTTTATTTATTTTTTATTTATAGAACATTTCGTGCCTTTTTGATAATTTTTCCTTGGGCTTTACTTGTAATTTTCCCAATTGTCTTTTTGAATCAATTTATATTCCGAACCTTCACGAAACAGAGCATCCCATTTTTTTATTTGTCTCTTCTTTCTCTCCACCGTCAATATGCTCCTTCGGTCTTCATCATCGACCCATCTCTTTCCACTCCCCGCTGTTGGTTTTCTCCATCGTCGTCAACTTGTGCTATCCTTACTGTCACGATTGGCTACTGGAGGTGGTGGAGTCGCCGGATTCTCTTCTTTCGTCGCTGTCTGTTCTTCCAGGTTCGTGTGTGAGTGTGTTTGGTCTTCAATTTCCTTTCCTCCTCAACTGCGAGATGTGGTAGATGAAGCTTAATTCCTTCTCTTTTGTTGCATGGCGATTTTTGCCCCTTCCAAATGGTTCTGTCGTGACTGATGATGATGGGGACTGAAGTTCTGCTTTACTATTTCTGCTGGTTATTGTTTGGTAGAGAGGGAAATTGAATTTTCTTTTTTTGTTTAAAGCATTAAAGGAAGAAGCTTGAGGAATAAGTATATACATGCTAAAAATTTCTTGTTAAGAATGCTGATGTTAGTTGCTGCCAAAGGTTATTCAAATAATTGATTGGGATTTAATTTGAAATATTTTGTATCTTTAATAATACTTAAGTAGTATATGAAAGTTTGATTAAGGAATTAAATGGTGAGGATAAGAGGTTAGGATGTATGCAGATTGGTTATGTGATGAGTAAATAGGAATGCTTCCAAGAGATTTGTTTAAGTGCTTAAAAGAATGGTAAGATTGATTAATTGATATAGTTAAATTTGAGTTTATTGACAGGAAATAAGAAATTTATATTTTGGGTTTAAAGTTTATATTATTGATGCGAAAGCTTTAAGAAATTATAATTGAACATAATGATGTAGTGTTTAGTTTTAAATTAAAATGTTCATTCCTGAAGTTGATTTAAAAAAATTACTTGATAATGATTTTAGGATTATGATTTATTTGTCAGGAAATTTTGAGCATCATTAGAATTAAAGTAAAAAGATAAGAGAAGCAAGCTTTAAAATTCTTGAGAAACTCTTAGGTGAGTGGATAGTGTCCTAAATAATTGCTTGCAAAATGTTTATACAATTTCTTTATTTAAATTTTTATAGCATTTCTTTATAAGTTGTATAAATATTCTTGTTAATTGTATTTTTATGATTTATACAATTTTTTTTACTTACCTCACTTTTATATTAATTGGTTTATTATGGAATTTGCTTTAGTTTCATTAAGAATTATGCTATTGTTAAAGAATATTTGGATTTGGTACATTATTGAATGATTATTTATTCTAAACATTTCTTTTGTTTAAATTTTATAATTTATATGATAGTTGTTAATACGGTGATTCGTGCACGAAGAATAATGAAAAGAAAATTTCATAGTTGAATATTATATTTTCAAATGAATGGTTTTCAATGAATGTTTCAACCCCGTGCACGCTTGATTTAATTAGGGGGATTGAGTTCAGAACGCTGAATGCTAACGGCAGTTTCGTTAGCCCTTGGCGCGCCATAGTACACTTAGCTAGCAGGGTGCTTTGGAGGTGCTAGTCCCGTGTGCTGGCCAACACACGCGGAATGGAGGATATAGTTTCGTGGATACAATCCACGCCTGTTATTCGTGAGCTTTATGCTTGTGCCTGTTTTTTGTGGCTTCTTGCCACGCCGGATATGTTACTTACCCTCGTGGGCTTTGTATCTATGTTTGTTAATCGTTCTGATCAAGTCCCGTTAAAGAAAGGATTTTGAAACTATTTTCTTTAAATTTGATATTAGGAAGCAAACTGTTATTTTTAACTATATGTGGATTTTTTTTATTGAGTAATACACACACACACACACACACACACACATTTCAAGATGTTTAAACATGTGTAGAAATTTAAGAAATTTAGAATTTGAAACTTTAATAATTTCATTTGTATTTATGTATTCTTGGTTTATATTATTTTTAATTAAGTATTTTAGTAAATTTATAATTGGCTCATTGATTACTTTCTATTATTTCTTTCAACTATCAATTGGGACGCTACTCATCAGAAAAATTTTCTTTGGCCTCAGATATTGAAATTGACCCTGCACCTCATAGGACACAATCATTTTTAGAACAGTGGAAGTATGTGGTAGTTACTTTTGACATAAATATATTTTATATTATGAAATTGTAACTTAACGCTTCACGTATACCGTAGTTAGATCCTAGTTTTATTTTGCTAATATACAATCTGTTGGTGTGAAGCTAGTCTCCTTTGTGATTGGCTAGTTTCACTATTGTAGGAATTTGGGGAGGTCCAAGTTATAAGGGAGATTCTGTCAAAATTTCTACAAAATATTTAAGACTTTACAAACTTTATAAAAATATATAAAAACTATATATCAATAATTTAGTTTAACTTATGACTAATTAAGGCTTATGGAATATGAGGTTATCTCATATTCCGTGCCGGTCATATCCTTAGTATTGGGGTGTGATAATTTTAATCTATTGAGTGTAGCGTAGGTGGTGTTTTTGACTTTTGGCTTTTGGTATGAGTTTTGGGTAATCAAGTTATTTGAAAATGGTAAAAAAGAGGAAATTTTGAAATGAGTATCAACTTTATACTAAGAGATAATTTAATTGTGAAACTAAAGCCAATAGCTAGAGCGAAAAAAGCTCTTTCTAGATACCTAAATTATGTCAATCGGACATGGGATGGAGAAATAGGGTGCATCAAAAGTTACCCCAAGTGCTATCAAATGACATTAGAATTCTACTATAAAAAAGAGTGCAATGTGCCATGTCATAATATGCCTAAGCCGTGGTGCATAGCACAGAGACTCGTGAGCTATGGCATAGGTGCAACAAGCCGTAGTGCATGCCTTTATTTCTGTACAAATTCACTGTTTTCTAATTTTACACAAATCAATGATTCTTCTAATGATTTCATGCTTCTACATAATTACCAAAATTTGGTTTTCGGTATGTAAATATTATTTGGGATGTTTTAAAGTATTAAAAACTTGGGATTTCATTTGTAAAATTTGATAACTTGTCATTCTTACCTTGAGATAATCTCATAATTAATTTAGATTTGGAGTTAATCAAAGAATAGTTAGAGAGATATTTTACAAGCCAAGCCTGTTTAAGCTTATCCCAAATACCCGAACAAAATTATATTTTTATTTAACCAAGAGACCATTATTTGAGCACATTATTATAAATATTTTCTTAAAAAATTATGAATATTAATATGATTATATTTTTTATTTGTTTTAACATATAAAATATCTTAAAATAATATCTAAAATATATTTTAATTTTGATTTTTAAACTTTAAGACACACAAATTGTTTTAAAAAAAATAGGATTAATGAGCATTTTAGATCCTAAATTGTTGTGTAAATAGTATCCTGGACACTAAACTCCTAAAATATGTAAAAACTTTTCTTAATTTCTAAATTCTAAGCACCTGAAACCTTGAAGTTAAGTTAAAAAAATTGCCATTATTTTTATAGTTGTGGGTCTCAGTCGTTCACTGATGTGGCATTCATCTTAATCTTTAAAAATAACAATAATGTTCTCTAACTTAATGGCAGGGTTTCGGCTGATTAGAATTTAAAAGCTGAGAGAAGTATTTTCATATTTAAGGAGTTAAAAGTCTAAAATACTATTCGTATAATAGTTTAGGGTCTAGGATATTTATTAACCCTAACAAAAATTTAAGTCTTTACATTTTTTTAAGTATTTCAAAGTGATAATAATAAAAATAATTAATTTTAAAATAAAATTTAAATTTTTCTAAAAAATTTCACAATTCTATATTCAGGATCGTGGGAAACAAGGGAGGTAGGCAATTAACAAATCTAAAATTATTTTTAATTAAAAATTTTAAAGGTTTAAAAAGGAAAAATGACATAAATCCTATTAATATATGACAATGATGTTTTGCGAGATGTGATAATTCCTTTTAAATTTTTTGAAACTTTTCTGATATTAATATCTTTTGTAAAATTATTTTCTTCAATTAAAATAAAAAGAGAAACTAACAAGTATAACTTGTTATTTGCTATTCCATTTTAATCATTATTAAAAAAATAATTATTATTTAAATCAAAATAATAACTGAATTTACAATACTTGGGTTTTAGCGATAAAAAATTTTGCAAAAGAGAAATTATAATTACTTATTCCATTTTAGTTATTATCATAAAAAAATAGTCATTATTTAAATTAAAATAATCACTGATATTCACAACACTTGAATTTCAATAATTAAAAAATTTATAAAATAAAACTTGTCATTTGTTATTTTGTTTTAGTTGTTATTAAACAAATATTCATTACCTAACCTAAAGTAGTCATTGCATGATTTTTTTTTTATTAAAGGTATTATAGTCATTTCACAAATGATATTAATGTTAAAAAGTTCTGAGGATTTGAAAAGACTCATCATATTTTGCATAAAATTATTATCATTTATATATTTTAAGAAAATTATTATATCATTGTTTATTTAAAAAATGCATGCATTTTTCTTTTAACATGCATTTTTTCGAATAAAAATTGAGACCATTAATAGGCTACAAAAAGTTCGGAGTAACAGGAGGAAAGGATCCCTGGCGCATATCAAAGCCAACGTCTAGAACTAGGACAAGTTGAATATGGACAACAGAAAAATATTACTTTTATATCCTATTATAATTATAATATATTATATTACATGCACCTTGTCCAATGTGTACCTCCATGAATTTTTTTTTTTAAAGTAAAGTTCACCTCCATCATGAATAACAATCAGGTGTTCAAAATATGTTATTAATAATATTAAAAATATTAATGATATTAACATAATAATTAATATTTAAATAGTAAAATAAATAAAAATGTTTAAATGGGTTAGCCTTCAACCTTACAGGATCCACATGTTTAAACTTTTATTGTATTAAGATTGGCTTTTATAAGTTCATTTTATATTTTGAAAATGGGTAAATATAACTTTTAATCTATGTACTTTACTCATATTTTACTTTTGATCTCTATATTTTTTTTGAGTGTTTTAAATCTCTATACTTTTATTTTTCATTATTTTTGATCCCTCTATAAGTAAAGTATAGAGATTTTAGAAGGACTTAAAATAATAAAAAATAAAAAAAATAAAAATTTAAAATATTAAAAAAATATAAAAATAAAAAATAAAACGTGAATAAAATATAAAGACAAAAAATTATGTTTACCTTAGTAAAATTTGGATCTCAAGTCGGGCCCTAATAATCATTAGACTTTACCCGATTGTTGCAAAAAAAAAAAAAGGATTCTTTGTTGGCCCGCCAAAAGACCAAAAAAGTGAATGGTCCCCCCAGTGGCCCTCAAGTCTGTTGCGAGAGACAGACGTTGTGAAAGATAATAAGAATCGGCCATCATATCCAAAATCATTTGAGACAACGCCTTCGCTTGGTCAACTCCCTAGTTTCGACGATTGTTCTGAATCGCCATGGAAGAAGCTCAGTTACCAATCAACAGTGAAGGAAACCCTATTCGATGCAAAGGTACATATAACTAGGTCATCTTCGTCGATCGATTTGGGATTTTTCGACATTCAGGATGAAATTAATTAAATAAATATCTTTCTCATGAATTATTCTTCTCCCGTCGGCTTTATCGCAACCTGTAGCCGCCGTCTGTCGGAATCCCGGCGAGCCGTTAGTGATTGAGGAGATCTTTGTGGCGCCGCCGATGTCTCGTGAAGTTCGGGTTCGGATCATCTGCACCTCTCTCTGTCACAGTGACCTCACGTTCTGGAAGATGAAGGTTTCTTTAGAATTAATAACTCGTTGTTTGTTTGTTTGTTCTTTTTCGTATATTCAACTTTTGGAATTAGTGATTTTTGTTTTGACTTTCTGAGATGTGTTGTTCTTTCTGTGTTGAAGGATCCTCCTGGAGTGTTTCCAAGGATTCTGGGCCACGAGGCTGTGGGGTAAGCTTCTGAGAATTCCTTCCGAACGATTCTTCTTTCTCAACTTTTATGATGGCTGTATGCATTTTCTCCCTCCAATCTTAAAACACTTTTAAATATCTTACAAAATTAGAAAAAAAAATATTTTAAAAATAATTCATACCATCAAAATGTAAAACAGTATCGCTACCGTGCTTTTTAGAAATATCTTTCAAGTATGATTAATCACTAATCTATATTAATTACTTTTAATTTCTTTCTTATATGATATTTGTGTATGTTATAATTAATAAGAGCATCTGTAGATAGAAGAAATTAGTCAATGTTATTGATTTATTGCAAAGAGTCTGTCATCCATTTTAGACTAATATTAGTACATGAAAAAATGTCTTATATTTTAAATAAGAAAGAGTATATGACATTACTAATTAGCTTATTCATAACTATTTTATTAAAAAGGAAATGTTGTTAAGTCATTTATAAATCAAGTAATTTTCTAAAGTTTCGCTTGTTTAAAAGCATGAATTAAAAAGAAAGTTGTAAACAAGAGTCATCTTTGAAAAAGGAAAAAAAAAATAAATAATTGATGCCTCACCTTTTATAAAAAGTAACTAATGTATATTCCCTTGGCTCCAAATTAAAAGACTCTTTCATAAAAATAACTACTTTCTTACTTGCATGAAAAATGGCATATCTTTTTCTTGTTGTTTTTAAACTTCTTATTATGAAGAATGAGCAGAAGTGTTTAGTTAAATTATATTTCTTATTCTTGCATTAATTAATAAAAAGGTAAATGTGAAAAAAACAATTTCAAAAAGTATTAAGTATCCTACATTAATTTAAGATCAAGTTTAGCCGGAAAAAAAAATAATGTCATACAATTTAGAACGACGGCCACACAATTGCCGATGACTCTGCTTACAAGTTCATGTACAAGTCCAGTGACACCCTCCACATTTCTTTAAAGTAGGAAAGTTGTAAGTTCTATACCCTATATAATAAAAGAGTTGGTGTCCAATGAGAGAAACGATAAACATATAGATGAGTGTGAGTGTCTATATTTGATCCCTTTTGAAAAGTTAATTCAGTAATCTCGTGAATAACTCTCACCGGAACATAATAATATCAAAAATTATGTTGATGATTTGGTCTGTTGACAGGGTTGTGGAAAGTGTAGGAGAAGGAGTGAGTGAAGTGGAGAAAGGAGATATGGTGGTTCCAGTGTTCATGCCACAATGTGAAGAGTGTGCGGATTGCAAGTCTAAGAAGAGCAACCTATGTTCAAAGGTGCCATTCAGGATGAGTGCTTGGATGCCAAGGCATGAGAGCAGCAGATTCACGGACCTGAATGGCCAAACTATTTACCATTTCTTGTTTGTGTCCAGTTTCAGTCAATACACAGTGGTTGATGTTGCCAATTTGACTAAGATTGATCATCCCTCCTCTGTTGTTCCTCCCGACAGGGCTTGCCTCCTCAGTTGTGGTGTCTCCACTGGTAATACCTTTCCAATTCGCTCTCTCTATCGCCCTTTCTCTCGCTACTTTTAGAGTTAATGATTTGACCTATCCACTTAAGGGACACTTTTGATTTCTATATTAAAAAAAAAAAAGAACTAAAAAGTAAATTGGTTTATAAATTATAGGTGTAGGGAACTCTAAACTCATTTTTTATATGTAATGTTCCTCTTCAATTTTTAAAAGCAGTACAATTTAATTTCTATCTTTAATAAAAGTTAATTTTAACCACTAGTTAGTCCAAAAATGACATAAAAATTACAGCAGAAGACCCAAAAATTACAGTAAAGGATCAATAAAATTTTATTAAATTTTTTATAATTTTTGAAGTCATTTTTTATTATTTTTTAATTAACTAATAGTTTAAGTTAATTTTTGTTAACAGTAAAAGTTAAATTATATTATTTTTAAAGTTAAAGAAAAATATTACATTAAAAATAAATTTAAAGTCTTAGACCTTTTTCATTTAGGGTCAATTTTCTCTTTTATCCCTTTAAACATTATTTTCCATTTTCAAAAAATAAAAAACTCATTTAGAATTTTGAATAAATATTTGAGATTTAGATGTTTTTAAAATTGTTCTCGTTTTTATTTTTTTTTTAAAAAGTGATTTATAAAATAGTTTTTAAAAGTAAAAATTGGGAACAAAATGAAATAAGCACTAAGAGTATTAATAGACTTTAGAAAATTTTGTCGGTAACATAACTAGTGTTTAATTTAATGTTTTGGAATCTAATTGTTATTCTCGTATAATCATTTTAAGAAATTATCCCCCCCCCCCTTTTTTGGGGAGTACAACTGCTATTTCAGGAGTAGGTGCTGCTTGGAAGACGGCAGAAGTGGAGGAAGGTTCCACGGTTGCCATATTTGGGCTTGGTTCCATTGGATTGGCAGTATGTATACTCACGGCATTTTCTTGTTCTTTCTTTTGCATATTTTTACTTTTGACCAACAAATATTTTTCCCAACAAATACAAAGGTCAATTTGTCAACCAATAAATGCCTTTTTCTTTTCCAAAATATATGTTGTTTAAAGCTACTATTAGCATGTATTGTCAAAGTTAAAAATTTTTCATCCTGATACCAAATGATAAAACCATCTAATGTGAATAGTGTTCAAGTCTCAAATATCCTACTTATATAGTTTACATATACAATTCTAACTTATTAACAAAGTTGTTACATAGTTTACCATTTACCACAAAAAAATAATATTTTTGACTGAAATACCTTTTTTTTTTTTTCTAAGCAAACTCTTCGTTAACCAACCATATTGTTTTTTATTTATGAAGAATAAATGGTCCAATAATAGTTCATATTTTATTTGAAATTATAAAGTGGCAGGTATTTCCTAAAACAACAAAAAAAAACAACAAATCTTTAACACGACATATATTTTGAGGTGGATAGAGTAATCAATAAGGACTTAATTCATGCCTCGTAAGAACATGGGGTCAAGTGTAAGAAAATTGTTGATGAATATTAAGTGCTTTTATAAACATTCTAGACCAACTTCACTTAAATATTTTCTACTGCTAAAGAAAAATAAAAAGGTAGTCCTCCTTTATGGATATTAATTTGAGCATTAATTTTCTTGTCTAATGTGTGCATTTAGATAATTTATATTTATATTTAAATTGATTGGTTAAAGTCATAGTAATGTTATTTTCAAAACTTCGACTATTGAATTCAAAGCATGTATTATTTTCCTCAACGAAGGAAAACGTTTTTTGAAATTGAAATTGCAATTTTGGATTGCTAGCAAAAGTGTGTGGGAGAAGCAAAATCTAAATGAAAAAAATCATTCTCATTTCCCACACAAGCAAACTAAATACATAAATGTCTAATGAATTAACAAAATTAATTTGAAGCCACGTGTTGCTTACTAAAATTATTAATATATTATATTGAAGTTCTATGTTGATGCCAGATAGTTGTTAATGAAATTATTTAGTTGATAACTAAATCGTAATAATTAACAATTATGTAACAGTAATTTATAACTTCAGTAAAAGATATAATTTCAAGAGACTTTTATGTATTTAGATTTTACATGTAGAACTTGACAGTTATTTTTCTAGTATAAAGTAGATATTTATATTTTCTCACAATTACTGAAATCAATTGGTTTATTTACCTTTTACAGGTTGCAGAGGGAGCTAGACTATGTGGAGCTGCTAGGATTATTGGAGTGGACTTGAACCCACAAAAATTTGAAATTGGTAACCACTTGTATAATTCATAGATTTTACCTCTAACCATGGTTCATATTCTCGCGATTAATTATACTCTAAATCTCCCATTTTACATGAAGTTTAAAATAAATTCCATTATTCATATCTTATAAACAATTTATTTCTTTTTAGAATAAATCTATACATTTATGCATAGTGGAGGGAAGCCACAGGCAACTAAGGCAATGACCTAAGGCCTCCACATGCCACATCAACATATCTCTCTCTCTCTCTCTCTCTCTCTATATATATATATATATATATATATAGAATCTATCTTTCATGAAAAACATATAAACTATTAAAAAAAAGAATTTCGATGAAATTATATATATATATATATATATTAAAATTGGTTATATATATATATGAAATCATTTTTTGTTTTTTAATTGAATACAAAAAATAGTGAACTTGTGATGAGATTTGTTAAGAAATTCTGTATTTATCTTGAGATGTTGTTAAGTTTTAGTCAACATTTTGATATTGAGGAGCTTAAATTATTTTTAAAATTGAAAATATTATAAATGTTAATAAAAAAATATACCAATTGAATTATTAAACTAAATTGAAATATTATATTATCTTCCAAACGCATGCAATGTTTATAGAATATAATTGACAATACCTTTACTAGTCACTAGGCAAAAAGTATTTTCGAAATTAAAATTGTTTAAATCCTCTTTGAGAGATAAATTGAATAAATTATTCATATTATTTAATTTATTGAGAGCAAAATGTTAAAATTACTTTATTATTAATTTTTTAAATTTAATATTTTAACTTAGAAATCTATGAAAATGATATATGGATTGATAAGTTACAATAAACAAGGCTCCAGTAATTTCTAGTTCTTCACAAGGTGCCAACTCACAGTTTATTTTGAATATAAATATTGATATATCAATGTCTTTTTTTTTTGGCCAATAATATTGATATATCAATGTCGTTGAAAGGTTATGAATCAAATCTCATGATATTTTTTTTTAAGAAAAAACAAAATTAAATCTCATGACTTGTCTTTTCTCTTTTTACTCAGGAAAAAAGTTTGGAGTCACAGACTTCGTTAATTCTGGCGAATGTGGGGAGAAACCAGTTAGCCAGGTCTATTTCATTCCATGAAAAAAACTATATATATATATATAAAATTAATTGTTAGGTGCTTATAATTATTTTAATTTTGAATTAATCCTTGTAATTTATTTTTATTTTAATTAAACTCTTATAATTTGACATATATTAGTCCCTGAAAGTTAAAAGTATTAATGAATGATTAACTTTATCAAAACAAAAATACTCTTGAAGTTTATAAAAATTTTGATTTAATAAATTTTTTACATTTTTATTAATTTGTTATGAAAATTCTATATGCATTAAAACTACCACCTCATTCACCCAAAAAAAAAAAAAAAATTAGCACCTCATGTCTAGACTCATAAACTCTCAGATTATGAGATTGTTTTTATCAACGGTGGCTTTACAAGTATCTTAGGTATGCATCGGTATTTTTATTTAACATGATTGTATGTCCTAATATTCAAACTAGAGATTTTAAAATAAGCCAATTCAATTCTCTTAACTAATCGAACTAAATATCCCTTGGTATTACAAGTCAAAAAAATTTTATTCACATGTTAAACTTATATATTTACAAGGGACTGGAAAATGTGGATGATTAAATTTTTTATTTAGAATTTATATATAATTCTCCCAAATTTATAAATACTCTAATCAAAGTATAAAAAATGGTACTAAAATAGGGTTTTCTAAAATTCAAAATGATGGGTTTAGTGATATATAAACGGATACATGTGGTTGTGGAGCAGGTGATTAGAGAGATGACAGATGGAGGGGCTGATCATTGCTTTGAGTGCGTTGGGATGGCATCGTTGGTCCATGAAGCTTATGCTTCTTGTCGAAAGGTCTCTTCCCCCCCCCCCCCAAAAAAAAAATTGCTTGAAAAAGTTGAAATTTCGTTTCATCTCTACTGAACACTAAGAACATGAAACAATCTCTGCTTTAAAAAAAAAAAAAAACAGAGAGATAGATAATAAGCGGTTCAAACCGATCTTTCTATTATGTTTTTTAAGCATGGGATGATTTTTGTTCTATTTAGATGAAGAAAAAATGATATTTAAAGACCCTCTAAGAACTTTATATATAGTAACTAGTGAGGGATCCTCAAATTTTGAAATTAAAAAAAAGAGAGACCATAGCTCTTAATTGAAATTAAAATTTTTCTAAATAGTCTTTCATATTTTCAACTTTCATCTGTCATATTTTGAATATTTATTTTTAACATTTTCATTATTCAATTTCTAGGAAATCATCTTATATGCTTTCAATACTAATCTTCCATAGTTTCACTGTTGATTTTTTTTTTCAATATTGAAAACATGAAACATGAGTATTGAAAACTTATAAGGTAACCAATGAAAAAAAAAAATAAAAAAATGAATACTGAAAATATAAAATATGAGTATTGAAAAAATTCAATAAAATTTTTTTAATCCCAACCAAGGACCACAGGCTTTTTATGAAATTCATAAATTTGAAGGTATTTATTAACTATAATTAATGTTTTAGAAGGTCTTCAAATGTCATTTTCCCTTAGATTAAACTTATATAATTATGTTATTGTCTAGTAATGTAAAGTTTCAATCTATTTAATAACAGAAATTAAGTTGAAAAAGTGATGGTTTGACTTTAGGGTTGGGGAAAAACAATAGTGGTCGGAGTTGACAAGTTAGGATCTCGTTTGAGCTTTAGCTCAGCTGAAGTTCTTGGAAGTGGAAAATGCCTTATGGGATGTTTATTTGGAGGACTCAAACCCAAGTCTCATATTCCCATTCTCCTCCAACGTTATATCAATAAGGTAATTATCATTTCTACTTTAATTTGCCTTATATTTTGTTTTATTTTTTTTTACTTATGTTGGGTCTCTTGTTAAAAAATTATGAAAAATCACATTTAAGTTTTAAAAGAAGAAATTAATAATAGTTAGGTTCTCAATAAAATTATCTAAAAAATAAATTGTAAATATTGATTCAAATAATTACATATTCTAAATGTAACTTTCAATCTAAATTTGTCAATGGTTAGTTGTCTTAGCAACAATGCCTCCCTTTTTAAGAAGTCCTGAGTTTGAACCCAATGTAGACATGGTCATATGCATGGTGGGTGCATAAGTCTTCATTTTCTATGAACAAAGGCTAGATTAGGTGTAAAAAAAAAAAAAAATTCTCTGTCTAGAATTAGGATTCTTGTTTGCACCTATCTAGATCAATATTTGCAACTCTTTTAAAAAATTCTTGTTGAGAATCGTTAATTTCTTCTTTAAAAACTTTATTATCATTCTTCCAATTATTAACATTTTTTTACTGCTATGTTAAATAACTATCAATTTAAAAATAGTCATTGCTTCCCAAGACCAAAGTATTAATAATGGGAGAATGATAGTTGAGTTTTTGGGGAATAAATTGATAACAGTTAGGTCCTTTCTTGATAAGATTTTTTTAAATTAAATTGTGAGTATCAATTTAAATAATTACAAATTCATAAATTTTAATTGCAAATATGACATTTTAGTGCTAAATGTAACCCCCAATTCCTAACTAGGATTTTTGTTTGAAACTATCTCATACTTACAACTTATTTAAAAAAAAAATTGTCAAGAATCTAACTATTATTAATTTGATTAACAATTCCTTTACATGGGGCTTGGATGCCATTCTCCCTAACTTCTATTCTTAAAGTGTGTATGGGAGTTTATGATTGAATGAAAAAGAATGGCCATTGATGGAATAAAGCAGAGCGAAGCAGAATAGAACAAAATTTTTATTATTTGAGAGTTATTATAAAATGAATAGGACATAATGGATTAAAACTTTTTCTTTCTGTATTACTCATATGACTAAATTTAAAGAAAATAACAATGCCTATTAAATAATTATAATATTTGTCCAACAAATAATAATAATAATAATAATAATAATAATTAATGGTCAAACAAGGTGTTGAAGAAATAAGAATAAAAAAAAAAAAGCAAGTAATAGAGTTATTCAAGCAAACACATATATTGTATAAGAGGAAAATACAATAGAGTTATCGTGTTGAGATGGGAGAGAAAGAGATGGCGGGAGCCATAGAGATTGTTGTAGAATGAAAATAATAAATATTTTTTATTATGATAAGAGGTAATTTTATAAATGAAATAATTATATTATATCACTTCATCTTTAACTTCCCCAATTGGGAGGACAAAAAAAAAAAAAGTTGTGGATGATGTTACTAACCCATCCCTCTTAAAAAAAAAAAAAAAAAAACTCACAAACAATAATTTTAGTTTTTTTAACTATCTCGCTCCATTCCATTTTTTCTTAAAAAATAATCTCCCAAAGATAGTGCTACTCTCACTCTCACACTACTCTCTCTAAGTATAAAATTATATAAAACAAATGTATATTATATATTGTGATAGTAATAATAACTAGAAGACAAGAAGTAACCTTCTACAGACACAAGGAATTTCATTTCTAATTATTTTACATATATTATCAGAAAATAATTAAATTTACAATAATGCAATAGTAAATGGTATTTTAATACAGATTGATTCAAAATTGAATGAAAACAGAGAATATTGTGGAGAGAAAATGTATGTAGTTCAATGATAAAACTAAATTTTAAAAAGAAATTGACATTAAAAACCTATAATTTTATATTAAAAAATTGCTACACGGATGCACAAACTATAAAACTGAATTAATGAGTTATCGGTTTTTATCAAAGGACCAGATTTGTGAGAAATTATTCTTATCCGTTAAGCTTGCCCGCAATTACTACTATATTAATTCACAGGAACTACAACTGGATGATTTTGTCACACATGAAATGGAATTGGAGGACATAAATAAGGCTTTTGATCTACTGCAAGCAGGACAGTGTCTTCGATGTGTGGTTTGGATGGACAAGAAATTGTGAATAATTAAAGAATTTCAGACATTTTTATTTTCTGTAATTACATGGGCAATCATTCAATAAAACAAACAATGAATGTTGATTGTTCAGTAATGCAATGCACTTGCTGCCCTTTGTAAAATGTTTGCTGATTTGAAGCGTTTTACTATATAATTGCATCATTTGGTATCTAAACCAATCTAAATTCAAATATCATCCAACATGGATAAAAGGTATCTCTCTGCTCTTTTATTTTTTATTTTTGGAAACAAATTAATCATTGGTGTTTATATATATTTAGTTTTTAAACTTTGATTCAATATAATTAAATTTTTAAAATTTTAACTTCGTTTTCCAATTTTAACTTGACACAATTCACTCTTTATAATTTAACTATTTAAAATATTAATCTCTAATGTTTAAAAAATAACATTAGCCTTTATAATTTTATCATTTGAAATATAAAAATTAACTAATATTTTAAATAATTAAAACTATATGAATTGAAGGGGTCAATCTCTTTCCCAATGCTCCCCCGCTGGAGGGGGAGCACCAGCCATCAAGAGAGAGTCTTCTCTCATAAATTAAGTTATATTGAATAAAAATTTAAAATTTATTTTTTAAAAAAATATGTAAATTCACCAAAGAACCAAAAGTAAATGCACGCCAATATAGCAGAAAAATAAAATAGGCCACTTTTTTAGGAAGCGTTCCTCATCCAAAATCTCTACGACGACAAAACATACACAATATTTGGGATTAAATAATAAATTTATTTTTAAATTATAGGTCTATGAGTATTTAAAATTTTAAACTTAATTTTGATATAATATTATATATATATATATTTTGTCATTGTATGTAATTTTGAATCTTTTTCTATAATTATTTAATTAACTAATGATTAAATTTAATTTTTGTTAATGATAGGGGTATCATTGCAATGTTTTTAAAATTGAACGTGAACATTACATTAAAATAAATGTAAGGTCTCAATGTTCCTAAATCTATAATTCAAGGGTGAAATTACCCTTTAACACCAATATTTACAAAATTGAGGATTGGGATCCTACACAATTTTATGCTTTTTTTCCAAAAACTTTCATTCTAAGCTTCTTTGGTAAGCACGCTTTTACTTTCAAACTTATTCCAACTTTAATCATCGGTGATATATGCAATTGAGTCAATTGTGCATTATGAAACATTCTATAATTCCCCGCTTTCCATGTCTGGTTGGCCCCAGCTGCTACAACAACATACATAACCTATTTCCCAAACCTCTATTAATCCATTCAGCCCATAATGAATCTTTTTTATTTTATTTTAATAGCCCATATTATTTTTTTTTCACAATAGATAACTGATTCTGCAATTTAGAATCTCTGAAGTTTAGGCCTCCACACATTCTTTTTGTAAAGCAACATTGATCCCATAACACTGAAGCTTTGATCTTTCCACTATCAACTTCTTTGGCAACACTTTTCAGGCAGAATAAATGTTTGAGTCCAATATAAATGCATAGAAAATAAAATAAAATTTACCAGGTCACAGTTCCAGTATAAGACAGTTGTCAGGACGCTTAAATTTTTACATGAGCTGCAATTTTATGTATGATATTTTGGTAGTCAAGTGTTTCTTTTAGTTACTTATTATTTTCAATTTACCTTTTTTAAAGGAAGAATGACAAATAAAGACCTTATAAAAATATTAATTTTAAATTAAAATTTTTTAATACTAACTTTCCTAAATTTCAATAATGTTCTTACAAGATTATTACTTGTCATTCTCCCATCTTAAAACCTTTTTTATGGTAATGCAGTATTGGACTTTAGCTTGATCATTTAATAATTGAAAAAAAAAAAAAGAGTGACAAGGGAACACCAAGATATTAAACAGAGAAAGATCCCACATTAAGGTTTCTCAAGTCCCAAATTTCCTACTTAATGTTATCCTTCATCCCACTCAAATATATTTGGGATTTATAAGGATTTGTACTGGGATAAAATTTAAGTACTTAACCTTATATATTTAATATATTTTTATTCAATTAAATGAAGGTAAGTTGAATTTAATGTATTAATAATATTTATAATAATAGTTTATTATAGAATAAATAATAAATAAAAATTTATATGTATTAATTTGATCGAAAACAAGTATATTAAATATGTAAAATTAAGTTTATAAATTTTTCCCAATCAATACAGCCTTAGAGAACTCAATAAAAGCAACCATTAGTATTGGCATTTTAACTAAATCTATACTCGTATTGCAAAACATCAGAAGATCATCTGCAAAGCATAGATTGATCAATTTTAAAGTTTCTTATTGAGAATGCAACTTGAGAGACGTTTTTTTCAGAAAAATAACTTAACAAAATTCAAACTATAACTTGACCTTTTCATTAAAAAATAACCTGAAAGTATTTTCATCATTTGGCGCAAAAGATTAGTTTCATTTCAATCCCCTAAATTGATATTGTAAAGTAATTATATATATATATATGTTGGTTTCTCTTTGCGATTAAGTTTCTTCTATGAGACTTTAATGAATTTTGCCCAAAAAATTGTATGATATTAACAAATTTAAAATATAGATAAAATCAAGCATACTTTTTTAATTAATTTATATTAATATTAATTTTAAAAATATTGAAGTAATAGTTTTATTAAAAAAGTCAAATATAACAGTTAACCAAGATTATAAGTGAAAGAAGGAAAATCACATAAAAATCATATTGAAATATATAAATGATAATGAAACCTCACTAAATATCATAATTCTTTTCAAGTTTTTATGAACTTTTTGACATTAATATTTTTGATAAAATGACTTAAATACCCCCTATTAAAACAAAAAGTAACAGCTCTAGCCATAAAAAAGTAAATATCAATACTACTTTAATTTAAATAATGACTATTTTTTAAAAATGACTAAAATGGAATAAACAAATACAACTTTCCTTGTACAAATTTTTAATTTATTAAAATTTAAATATTGTAAATATTTATAACTATTTTAATTTAAGTAATGATTATCTTTCTTTTGGAAATGACTGAAACAAAATAAGAAATTTCAACTTTCCCCATGCCAATATTTATTTACTAAATTCTAGGTGTTATAAATATAAATGATTACTTTAAATTAAACAATGACTATTTTTCTTCTAACAATGATTGGAATAAAACAAATAATTATAATTTTCTTGTGCAAATTTGTGATTCACTAAAATTTAAGTATTGTAAATATTTATGACTATTTTAATTTTAGTAATAATAATTTTTTTTAAAATGATTAGAATAGAACAAGTAATTATAATTTTCCTACACAAATTTTTTATTTATTAAAATTTAAGTATTATAAATATCGTGATTATTTTAATTTAGATAATGAATGTTTTTTTCTTGAACATGGCTTAAAAGAGAACAAGAAATTACACCTTTTCCTATGCCAAATTGTATTTACTAAAATCTAGGTGTTATACATATACGGAACTACTTTCTTTAGGTAATAGGTATTTTTGTAGCAATGATTAGATGGGAATAAACAACTACAACTTCTCTTATGTAAAGTTGTGATTCATTGAAATTTAAATGTTATAATTATTTATAATTATTTTAGTTTAATTAATATTTCGGGAGTGACTAAGGGTAAACAAGCAATTACTACTTAATTAAAATTGAAGTATTGTAGTCATTTTTTAAAAAATTATTAATATTAATAAAAAAATATTCCTAACGATTGGAGAAAAATTTATAGTATTTTGCCAATCACATTAGCTTCTGCATATTTAAGGGGATTTTTCCTCCTTTTTTTCTAAAAAACTAATATTATAAAAATCCTTTAAAAATATATAAATAATAATGTTATCCTTTAAAATAACCATAATTCTTCTAAAATTTTAGAGATTTTTATTTATTAATAAATTTATATACTAAATTATCTTTATTAAAATAAATGATTCACAAATTTTTAAATATTTATAATTTTTTTATATTCATAATAATGCAAACAATACTAAAAAATTTAACATGTGAAATTGTAATTGTTTGTTACATTATTGTTAATATAAGAAGAAAAATCTATAAATATTTAATAAAATTTGTGGATAATTTATTTTGACAAAAATAATTTAATTTAATAATTTATATAAATTTATTCATGGTAAATTTTTTTTAATTTTTAAAAAAATTACATATTTGAAAAGATTAAATTATTATTTATATATTTTTAAAGATTTTTATCATCATTTTTCAACCAAAAAAAAAAAGCTTTCTTTTCAGAAAATTATTTGCTGAAGCAAGAGTTAGGGCTTTTCGTTCAAAACCACACCTCGCGGCTTCTGAGTTCTGACCTCCTCGCACGATCTTCTCCCTTCCTCTGCGTCGTGCGCTTTCCGGTACTTGCGGTGGTCAGTTCTCCGGTGGCATTAAGAACTAGCTGACGAAGGTATTTAGATTATTGATTGGTTATACGATACGTCATGTTTATGTTACAAAACTCCCAATGCTTGTCAATTATAGATGTGAATCCCTTCCCCTTACCACATATCAGAGTCTTATCAATGTTTTTGGTGCCTTTTGTTCTCTGATTTTTCAAAGATAAAAATAATTTTGGGTTGAGATAAGATGAGCGGACTTGAGAAAGGATCAACCACTACCAAGACCCCTGCAGATTTCCTGAAATCACTTCGTGGTCGTCCTGTTGTTGTAAGTTGAATTCTGGCGTCGATTATCGAGGTAATTCTGGCCTCAATAGCTTCAAACTAAGTATCTTCCTTTGAAGTTGTCTTTGGTCTGAACTGATATTTTTCGTATCCTTTATTTTGTGATAAAACTGAAGAGTATGGTTTTTCGAAATATGATTGATTATGACTTTGTAGAACCTGAAAATGATGCATTTCGGTTTACTAACTTTTTTATGTTGAAATCACCTTTCATCATGGTAGCACATAGTGCTTACCACCTTGTTTATCTTCTCACTCTCACTCATTATAAATATATATGAGAGCATCATTTTGCTTTTGTGTATATCTAATCATTCTTTGCTTTATTTATCATTTTGCAAGATCATCAACTCCATTACTTGTTTTATTTGGTCTCTCATCTGTTGCTTTATATTGAATGGTTTTGAACTCTAGCAAATAAGTCGACAATATGAAAATTCTTAGTAATGTTAGTGAACTAGACAAAGCATGATCTATATATTTGATATTTTTTGAGTTATTTTCTGTTTGGTTGCGAGATGTGGTTTATTGGACTTCAGTCAAAGGTGAAAGCACCCTTAAGGCTTACGACCTCTAAAATGCTGCAAGTTAGAGAAGCTAGAAAGGGGCATTCAATTAACCACAACATATAAGTCTGTCCTAGTTATGAGGACAATAGGACCATTATATGTTTACCTACAACATAGCATGGTGAATTACACTATTTTTTGTTCAAGTCAATAATCATAAATTTTATTGGTATTCCAGCCAAACCCACTCAGACTATTCTTGAACAAATTATAACAAGGAGTGTATTTACTCTTAATCTCTTCATCCGATCTTTGATTTTTGTTTAGTCTATTTATTTTTCTAGAAAACTTATTTCGCATCTCCAACTCAGATGGATTAATTCATAAAATACAATTAGTTCATCATCAGCCAAGAAAAAGCACAAGTTCAAGTAATTTCATCCCGGAACAAAATCCACTTTTTCCTAATGCACAGATCTTTGTATGAACTTAGCAAAATTTTGCTGGAGATGGGGGAGAGTTCTTGACAAACAAATTGACAAACAAAAATAAGGGAAAAAATTGAAAAAAAAAATATAATTCTTGTTATGGTTTGTTTGAGAATGACTTGTTTAAGTTTGGATGAGATTTAAATAAATTTGTGGATTGCTGAACAAGAAGTACCGACAAGTTCATTGAGATAGCATGGGAATCTAGGTTATGTACACTATCAATAAACTATTTGTCTCTTCAATTTACTTCACTGGAATTTACATTCATTTGCCAAGATAAAGCCTGAAGTTTCTTTAGCAGAGAAAAAACTAATATCTTATTATGAGATGTTATCACTACAAGGACAAGATAGGTCAACTGGTGAAGATAAACATTATATTGGATGACAAAGAAGAACCTCAATATCCCAATCAATGGGTTTGACATTATTTTGTAGAAAACATTGATCTTTCAGTATCCAATTATAAAACAACTCTGCTTTACTTTTTGTGTGAATAATGACAAAGAAATAGTAAATTCTCAAGGAACAAGATCTCATGCTAGTGCTGCATCTCAGAATAAGGAAAAATTATAAAGCAACAAATGAAGTTTGGGGTTTGAAAGTGTCAAGTATCAAAATGGCATGATTGAAGCTTTTCAAAGTGTGGAATTGATATTTCAAAGAGTAGTATCAAAATGGTCAATAAGAGTTAGTACTAACTCCTATTATGTTAGAAAGTGAAGTGTGGGTTCTCTTACAAGAATTGCAGTTAGATATATAAACATATATGGTAAGAATGGTGCTCAAAGAATTTTATTAGATGCCCTCCAAAGATGTGGAAGCTGTTGATGCTTCTAATGTCTTATGATGATAATAATAGTGTACTTTAGTTAGTTATGGATATGTAAACAAAAATATAGTATTTGATTGGCTTTTGGGTTACATTGTTTTTGGTTACACAAGATTGCTTCCTACTCTTCTGGTCATCTTTAAAGTCATTTTTTCCAATCTCATTAATGCCATTGCAAAAAAAAAAAAAGTAAAAGAAATAAAATTTTGTAAAATTTCATATATGCTGTTATAATCTAAACAATGATATCATGTTATTTTTTTCTTTTTATGAAAGATAATTTTCGAAATACTTTTCAAATATTACTTAAAAAGTCGCACCGTGACTTATAAATAAAACCAAATAGATCTTTAGAACGTGTCTTATAAATGGGACCAGAGGGAGTACACTATAACATTGTGGTTGAACAATATAATGGAGCTATTTCTTTTTTCCTCATAGTTACATATTATAATTCATGCACACTTTGAATGCACTTTTATATGTTTAATTAATTGGTTGATGAATGTTCTAAATATATATGAATCAACAGTTAAAGAGGTTAGTTTGGTTGGTTTTAAAAAAAAATTTAATAGAGATGTAGTTAACATTTATGTTCTTTCATAAAAGTTTTAAGCAATTATATACTTTACATTTTTAAATAAAAACAAAAGATCATGTGCAAGCATTAAAAAATATGAATAGTAATGTACGTACTAAGTTATGGATTAATTATTTTTTTTTGTGAGATGTTCTTACTAAGTTATTATATATCGTGAGAAAGTTTAAACTCAAAGCTATAAGAATATTTCACACTTCATTTGTTATCTCTTAAGTGTAATATTGGAGGAAAAGTTATAATCCATTCAATCTATTTCGTAATAAACCAAACAATGGTAGAATGAAGTCATCCCTTTTCCTCAGAAAAATTTCCATTAAATGTTGCTTGCATAGATTTGTTAGACTTTGTGGGCTCCTTGTTATTATGATTTATGAGGCTAAGTTTCATCCAAGTGACCTAATTTGGAGGCTGGGGATGGAAGAAATCTCCTGGGGCACATTTTAACGCAAATTAATAAATGATTATTTCTTTTTTCTGTGCAAGTATCATTTATACTCTAGGTAGAAACATGTTGATCGATTAACTCAGAGGTGGTAATCTCCATAGAAGGAAATAGTTGAAAAGATACTAGTTTATGACTTTTTAACATACCCTTTGTACAGAATATCTCCATGGGATCTGACCAAAAGAAATTGGGTGTTGAAGTAAGAAAAAAGGTAGTTCAGTTTTATTGCTGTTTGCTACCATAATGAATTGTTCGTTCAAGTTCCTGATGGCTTTGCATTGCTGACTTTGCTTATGGCTTTATTACGCTTCGAAGTAGTCAAGGAGTGGCTTTCCCTCACAGATAATGAGGTTCAGTTTTTTGGTCAGTGAGAAGTGTTTGTGAGTGCAGATAAACATGACATTCTATTATTTCGGTATCATTTGCATTATGTGGCTTTCTTATTACTGTTGGTCCCGACCAAAACATTGGTATGGTGTGCATGTTTTTGTGTTACACTGCTACGGGAGTTGCCACGTGGCTGTACTTTATGTTTGCAGCTATTACATAGTGGCTTGACACTATTTGATCATGTTCTCAGGTATTCTTGCTTGTCTAGATGGCTATATGAATATTGCCATGGAACAAACGGAAGAGTATGTCAATGGACAATTGAAGAACAAGTATGGCGATGCATTCATTAGAGGGAATAATGGTAATGCTGGAAGTTTTATTTGATCCAAAATTTAGGGTATTTGGGATTTTTTATAATTTTCTTTCCAGTTATACCCTTTATTTGTTTTTACTTTTGAAAAAAACGATTTGTTAGAATTTCAATTGTCATTATTAAGATATTTCTATAGGGTGTTTAATGAGAGTATAATTGGAAAGATGTATAAATTTTTAAAAGATTAAGATTTCAACTAGTGTCCTACATTGTGAGACTGGAGGAAACGTTTGATTACCTCTAACTTGATTTTCTTTCTTGGTCTGCGATGCAGTTCTGTACATCAGTACCTCAAAGAGGACCCTAGCTGAAGGGGCATAGTATGTAACACTGTTGATCTTTTCAAGACTCTTGTTAGCCAACCTCCAACCGATGTTTTTTTAAAGCTTCTTTGTTTTCCTTTGTTTCTGTAGTGAAATTTAGTTTTTCAGATGTTAAAAAGGCTGAGTTGGAATATATGTATATTTTGGCATTTTGAAAATAGTGTTTGGTGGAGCATTGCATGATCCGCCTGTATTAATCATTTAGTCGGAGAGTGGGGTATTGTGAATCATGCTTCTGTTTTGCAATTTGTAATGCAACTTTTTCCCAGTTTGACTGGAAAACTGGCAACTCGGCACTTGGTCTGGCTCGGAGTTCACTCAGCGCGGGATCTGACGTAGACGGTTAAAAGCCAGAAAAACCGGTTAGCTGGGGAAAAAAACCGGATGGTTTTTTTTTTTGTGTCCTTGCTTGGAAAAATTACTTCGGCCTTTAAGGATGAGGGATTCTAGCCTGTACCTCTGCACCTACATTGGTTTTTATTTAGTTTAGGTTTTCTTTTGTTGGTTGAAAGAAATAGAAAGTAAAAATAAGATGATCAAAATATTTAAGGGGATAAGTGAATCATTTTTATGAGAGAGAAGAGTAATTTAATTTATGGAATTGAGAATCATGATTTAAAGAATTTTATCATGTTTTATAAAAGAAAGGATAATTTAATTTATTTTTATTTTGATTTTTTTTTAATACATTTTATTCTCATTTTTAACAGCCAAATGAGATTTTGTTGATATAAGCAATGCAGGACTTTTAATGACAGAGCTATGTGTGCCATTATGTAGAAGATTATTTGCTTGTCTTGTTATACTTACATTAAACATAATGAGGCTTTTTTTAAAGTCTCATAAAATCCAGATGATAGGATGGAATGTCTTTAAGGTTGTTGGTCTTCTGGTCCTCATGACCCTTGATGAAGCATGAATGTTAAAATTTAATTTAAATGATTTAGATTTAATTTTTTTTATTTTTATCTTATATTCTTGGTAACTTTTATGCTTTTTATTTGGTAGATGCTATATTTAAAATAAATATAATCTCTTAACTGACAAGTGTGTATATGGAGGATTTAAAAAAAAAAAAAATCAGAGTCAAGTGTCTACATGAAGGATTTTTTTAAAAAAAGAAAAATCAGTGAGTGTCAAGTGTATGTATGAAGGAAATTTGTAAATTCAATTTATGATTATGATTGACAGAAGACTTTTTTTAATTAATTCTTATTGAACATTCCCTTGCATGTCATCTATATAGTTTATTAACTTAAATTAACGTTTATGTGGTGTGTTAATAATAGGGCATACATAACGTTTGAAGGAAAATACTCAAAATCAAGTTCAGGGTATTAAGTGTTTCAAAGTGAATATATTGGGGACAAAAGTGACTTTATCAACTGGATGCCATGTGAACATTTTGGTCAAAAAAATTGCTCAACGGATGCATTAAAGATAGGGTAGGAACAATTTTTTTTTTTTTAAACATTCAAGGATGTTTTGATCCAAAATTGAGTTTAAAATAGCCACAGATCTTAATTCTAAAAAATTGATCCTGCGTGAACACTTTGAAAAAAAAAAGACCTTAACTCAAAAAAAAAAAGTCATGTAAGGGTGCATTGTCCACCAACTGAACTATGATCAATTGAATTCACATTTTTTTTTTTAACTATGAAGCGAGCTAATTTAACCACCTAATTAACTTGTGATTTATGACAAACAAACCCGCAACTCGTAAATTGACTAATATTGTCATCTCTATAATATTTTAGAGCCTGTTGATAAATAACGAAATGATAACTGAATATAATTATCATTTTATTAAGCTAAGGTGTTAAAAAAACCTTATGGTATTTCATTATACTGCGGGTAACCTCAATGTAATTCTACTGATAGTGTATGATACATTAAAGTTGTCAAAAGCTTTCTTTCTTTCTTTTTTCTTGATAAATTTAAATATTTGATTGGTCTGTGACTAACGAGGAATCATTTCCTATTTGGGCGAGACGTCCAAAATGATTCCATTGTCACTTAAAATTGAAAAGAAACAAAGCACACGAGAATCTTATCCACCCCACACCCTCAATTCCTTAGGACATCACGTGACTATCACGCCCCCACCACGCCTTCTCATTGCGGCTCCCCCACCAGCGTCCCACACGTGGGCTCTTCTGGCCGCGTAAGTTCACACTCAGCTCCCCGCAAGAACTCACGCGCCAACCACTCGCAGCGATTTATTTTT